GTCTCATTTGCTTCCATATATGGACTAAACACAATTTATTTTTATATGGCAGAAACCCGCAACATCCTCGGCGAAAAAAATTCTAAAAAAATCAACGGTAATTTTTAGCCACTTGAAACTTGCACATTATTAGACTAAAATTGAATGGGCTATAAAACTGTGTATTCAAAAAAATTGTACCGCTTCTGAGAAAAAGTTTGAAATTTGGGTGAAAATTTGTTGCACTTTTTTGTGGTCTTTTAAAAAGTTTTAAGCTTGAGTTTATGTGAGTTTTGTGAGGGAATGAACTGTATTTTAATTGAAAATTCCTAGAAATAAATAAATAAACATGAGTGGCAAACAATATCACTTTGAAATGGGGCTGCTATTGTATTGGCCAATACTGTATCTCGATTCGTTTTACCTGTTACAAACAACTGTTATGTGAACAAAGTTATAAGTTACAAGTGCGCACGGTATAAAAAATAGCGCGCAAGTTTAAGTGTTAAGTGCACCAACGCGCAAGGTTAAGGATCAAGTGTGTCAAAGGAGATGGGTTGCCTTTACATTTGATATTGTCACATGGTAAACAAACAAGGTAGATATTACCATGTTTAACAAAAAGAAAAAAGTAGGTACCCTGCAAACCAAAGTTCCCGAAATCTTAAGGAAATCGTTAGAAGTATCTCATTTCTGTAACGATTTTTTTCCAAATTTTCAAAGAAAATTATATGAAGTGGTTGAGACGAACTCGTAAAGAAATTTCTGTACGAAAAATAAAGAAAATTCTGGAAAAATTCTGAAAGATATTCTTCACATAGCAGCATTATTTTCGTTTCTTCACAGATTTTCTTCCGAAATTTCGTAAAAGAATGGAACTGTGCGTAATTTATTTCATTTTATAAAATTCGGCAAAAAATCGAATTAAATCTTAAATTCTTTAAAATTTCTTTAAAATGCAGAATACTCTGAAAAAATGGTTTGCAGGGTTTATCTATTAAAAATTGGTTGAAACTAACCTTTAAACCTTTATGGAAAGTGATTCGGTTTTCGGGTCGGATCAAACATTTGTGGAAAATTTCGGTTCGGTTAATGGTTCAGTTAATTAATAGAAAAAAGCGGTTTTCCGGTTCACGTCCCTGCTTAACCATTTTCTTCTAATGAGCTATTATTAATCGATACACAACATAGAAGATGTGGCGGTCATTTCTGCATACTTTAATCAAGTAATTAACGGACAAAACAGAATAACCACAAAAGTTCTTGAATAAATGGTGTTTTAATATACAAAGTAGTACCCCTGAAATCCTAGATGTTAAAATATAAAGCATCGGTCTTTTTAATTTATAACCACTGTAGAAAAAATTTGAACATTGCGCAATTTCTTTGGAAATTAGCTTTGTACCGTGGTTGATGATTTTTATATATACGTTTAGTAAATATTAAATTTTCTTTAGACTCTTCAATTGAGCCCAATGTGTATTTAAATATTTAGACATAGGTTTTTATTCAAAATTATTTCATTAAATTATCTTTATTTGAACCCTTTTTATACAAGTTTTGCTTACGTTCATATTGAATTAAGATATGAAATTTTGTCCTGCAAAATAACTGCCATCGGTCATTTTGATAGAAAAATTATGATACTGCTAATTCCTACTACATACTTTCAATCTCCTCTGCGCACACTGTGCCACTTCATAGAGGACGATGCTCAAAACTAATTTTTCAAATGTTGGCGTACAAGAAAGAAAAATTGTACCAGCAGAGTCATACCAAAGTAGCGCATCTCGTGTATAAAGATTACGGTCCTGTTCACTACCAGTTGCCGCGTACAGCAGTTAAAAATTTACTGTTGAGTAAAACTATTATTTTTCGATATCGAATGCGAGCTATTGAAATAGATTTTTTAGTGTTGAAAGATAATATTGGTTTCAAAAGCATTATGTTGATTGTTTTATAGCACTGTATCAATATTTGATTGGATCGGTGTCCGAGATATTCTGTAGTAAACCAAATTTTCCAAGGTGAGTTTTTAAATTATACTTTTCTCAAATACGCAAAGCGCTTTTGCCAATTTTTAAGTTTGCTATTATATAGTCTAACGCGTAAAATAAAGAAAAGTTCAGAAAACAACTTTTAAGTTTTGAAGAAAAAATCATTTAAAAAATCTACCTTTAAACAAATTAAGTCTACTACAAATTATTCCTTATCGGGGTGGTTCTGTAATTCACTTTCGAGAGAATTTCAATCAAATACACTTTGAATTCTAATTGGCGGCGGTTGAAATTCACTCGGAAGTGAATTGCAGAACATGCCTGTATATTTCTGAAATCGATGAAATTGAATATTTATAAAAGGTTGTTAAACAATTAATGCACATTGCTTCCTCACTAACAAAATTAATTTCAAACCAAGGATATAAAAACACATTTCATTAACACACGTGAACTCGCTTTCGATATCCGATTTTTTTTTTTACTATACAGTTAACTGTGAACTGCTGTATGCGGTAACTAGTAGCAGTTATGAACCCAATATTTATATAGGAGATGTGGTCTGTATATCAACATTTGAAAAAATGAATTTTTAGCATCGCTCTTTAAGAAGCGGCTACGGTGTGCAGCGAATAGTCAAATAAGTTTAAGTTGCACGAATATAAGTTTGAATATATTAAGTTTATTTTTAACTAGAACAGTTGTAGAAGTTTCATATAATTTTAAATGATACAAAAGAATTTCATCCCTCCTATTTTAAATTCTGTTCTTCACTTAATATATATGTAAATAAAAATAAATCGTGCCAGTATTTATTCTTTGATTCGCTTTTTATCCTTTCCTTTTATACACAAAAATTACTTGTAAGAAATTAGTAGCCTAAGATATACAAAACTATCTTATAAAGCACACGCACGAACGATAATAACAGAAATTTGTGATTTATGTATATAATCATTCTTCAAATTAAATCTATAGTAATCAGTAGGCGTGAAACGAAGTTTTTAACACTTCATAGCACATAGTACTTCAAAAGCCCGCAGTCATTATAAAACACTTATATAAGAGCTTAAGAGTTTCATCGGCGAGTGTTCTAAAGTAGGTGATCTATTCAAACTTGCGATACTTAGCTTGGTTCCCACCACGTATACTTGGACCTGCTATTCCCGCCGCTGCAGATGTTGTTGTCGTTAACGTTTCACTATTGTTACTACCTGCTGTGGCGCTAACTAGTTGCATTCGCCGTTTTACGACGATTTTTCGACCCTGTGTAGGCACCACGGCCGTGGTTGTCAATGCCTTTGTTGTTGGCACTTTTACGCTAACCAGTTCATCAGTGTGGGCACTACTGGCGGTGCCATCCGCATCGTTAGCTGCACCATCTGCACTAGTGCTTGCTGTATTCTCATCGTCCTGAAATAAAACATCTTTAAAAATTTACTTAATTTTTCATTTAATACAATTTGTATACCTCATCAGCTACATCCTCGCCAGTTTCCTCTTCTTCAAATTCTATATTATAACCTTCGGGAGGCTCAAGGAGTACCCCATTCAATGTGGGCAAAGGAATTTCCGGTAAAATCACTTGATGATTTGGTCCATTACGTTCGTTCATTAACTGTTGCAATAGCTGGGAAATGTCTTCGCGTTTGCGAGTTACCGTTATTGTATCAAACCAATTACTTAACTGTTTAATCGGCACTCTATAATCTCTGATTGGATCTTTGAAGAATTGTTCCACGTATTGCAAAAGATAAAGACCGCAGTCCGTGAAGTTATTTTGCTGTGGCACTTTAACGCCATGACCCGGCATATTATCCTTGTTGAATATATGAGGTGTCACATCAGGCATTTTAGCTCGATATTCACACGTCAAGTAATCTCGTAATGTAGCAACAACTCGACTACGTGACGCACCAGCCAACGAATCAAAAATTAATATCAACGGCTGCTTGATTGCTTGTGATTTAACGCCGCCAGTATTGCTATTATTGGAATTGTTATTATTTGCTACCGCTGATGCATTCGCTGTGGATGACACTGCAGATGCACTGGTTCCGCTATCGAAATCACTTTCTTCTGATGCTAAATCACTTTCGTCGCCTTCCGCTTCATCACGCTCGCTGTCATCATCACCAACTCCACACACTTCCGCCAGAATATTTCCGCTATCACGTTTTGAGAGTGGTGTTATAGTCGTATTACCAATTTGCAGCGATACCTTCTTCCCTTCTATAAATGAAATGGTTATAATAAAAATAATATGAATATTACATTATATATATATATCATATATTAATATTATATTATTATTTATATTTACATACTTTGCTTCTTCAAAAGTTGCGGCTCCACTGGTATATTCGTATCATACGTTACAGGACCTTTCAACGTAGGAAAACAAATTATCGCTAGGAACCAATGTGATTGCTCATTGATTGGAATTATGATAAAATCCTTCTCAAATAGATTCACATTTTTTGTCCAGTTCTGAACACGGGCATGCCGCTTTTGTGCTGCAGTCTGTTTGACATCTTTGTCTACGTTGTGATGATGTCGTGTTAGTGTTGTTAAGCGCTTGTAAAAGAAAGTGCTGAAAATGAAAGCGCGATCACGCTGTGCCTGTGGGATGACATTGTTGTGTACCCATTTAAGATAAAAGTCGATTATGATATCGTTTAGATACTGATCAGTGGCCAAGCAAAGGTAGTCTTCCGTATTAATTGAAATACCACCTTTACCTGGCGGATAAATCAGTAGCTGGCGTATTTCGTTGGGATTCAGTTGAGTGGTGGTGACGGATGCAGATGTGCTTGATCTGTAACATCGAAATTTATTAGCTGCATGAAAGACGAAATCTTAACCACAATCTTACTCGGCCGTTTTGTTGGCGATATGCCGGTCAGCTGCTTCTGCACGTTGTAGCAAGTCATGTGCATCCACATCGGAAATTTCATCAAAGAAGTCCCAAATTGATTTGATGACGTTGCGTGATTGATCGGAACAGGCGCTAAATTGCAATATTATTTTCCGGACTTGGTATGGACCATTAGGTGAGAAGTATGCACCTAATTTAAAATTGATATACATTTGAAAAATTTTATAAATAAAATTAATTTTATAAAACATGTAGTTAGTTAAAATACATACAGCCATCGAGGGGTGCTCCATTGTCTTTCATTTGTAAACTGTTCTTTATATATTGTGCACAATTGCGTAATGTGTAGAAGCACAACATTGACTCAGACGCTTTTGAGAAATGAGCAATAATTTTCACAACTTCACGTTTATGTATATG